GGAGAATCTCAGAACGATGTCCGCAAACAATCTGTAATAAAGCTTAAGACTAGGTACTTACTAAAATCCCCTGTGGAAAAAGGGTACTTTTGAAGTAGCATATCACATGTAGCAGTTAGCAGTTTGAAGGGTTCCGAAAATCCCGTGTTAAAGTGCACACAATATTCAATCAAGTATACCATTAACTTTAAACTCAAACTTAATATCAAAGCAACAAAATATATAATAGGAACGCACTTCGGTTCTATATTTGCATAGTCATCTCACTTTTGCAAGATAATTAGGTACAACAGACAAATAACTGTGCAATATTATTAACAGTCGAACAGAACCTTCGTTCTTTGTTCGTATAGTGGTACAAATCCACCCGATTTTCTGAGCAATAGCTATAGCATAGGGTATCGCGTCAGCAATTCCACGTATGCAATATACAGTCCAAGACTGTACCGAATTAACCAACAGTTCTGTTGGGAGCACAGCTCTTGAGTTTTATCCGAAGACACACTTTGATAGACATACAATTTCAAAACAATTTATCAGGTCATCAACATCAAAATAATATTCTTATAAATTTTCAATAACATTAGACAGAAATGCATGGTCCAAAATGGTACTCACGTACAAACAATCTATTGCTAAAGGTTACGTACCTGTTTAGATAGTTTTCGAAACTTACGTTTAGATCGACACTTCCATACGAAGAAGTGTTCAGGAACAACATGAATAATCGCAATTATTACCTGAATTTTCCATAATAGATAACGAAAGAATAATCTTTATTTAATTTAAAAATTTTACAATTGTAATAAAAGCCGTTAGGACATTTATCACTTTTATAAAAAAAAATATAAAAATAAAATCGGAAGGTAGTTTCACAACTTGTGAATGGTTGTCTTGTGACTCACAAGGCACAACCATTTACGGCGGGAAACAAGACGCCAATGAAATAAAAATGGCGAGTCTCGCTTAGCAAGACTCCCCACCACTGCCAAGTGGAAGTGACGTAGTAGAAAGAGATAGACATATAGAAAAAGCGGAAGGAGGGAAGCAGAAGGCCTATCTCAATTAAATAAGCTTCGAATAACGGTCAAGTCAAATTAATAGGGATAAAAAGTACCCTATCACCTAAGTATACCAACCCTCCTGTATAACAAGTTTCATCAGAATCCGTTCAGTAGTTTCATCGTGATTGACGGGCAAACATTCAAAGTAACTTTTACATTTATAATACTAGTGCGACTAGTTACGCTCGCAAAAGGAAGCTGTAACGTATCTGCATATGAATACACGTACCTATAATAACTGCTTGTTTTAGTTCCTATCATGAACTAACCGGGCAACTTGCCCCGACCCTCAGGAAGCTGCTACATTCATTGGATGCGTGCACTGGTGTTCATAGATATAACTGTGTGTGTGGGCGACCTAAAATGTGGTACTGAATGTATGCGATTTATTTAATGGTGCTTATCAGGAAAAGTTGATAAGTCAATAAATCTATTTCAATTGTTCATCATAGTTAGGATTATTATGTAATCATTCTGTTTTAACAATACATTAATGGTACAAATTGTATTTGTTTTACCTGAGGTAATATTCAAATAATGTTAATTGTTAACCTTTTGAACGCCAGAGCAAAAACACATGAACCTGCCTTCGACACCAAGCCACAAATTCCACGCAAATTTCTACGAAAGAAATAGGAATGTTTCTGGTTCCGCTTTTTCTGTCATGTATTTGTGTCGTTGACGTCCAGGGACAGTTTTCGCTTGTCGCGTATATGTGACATTGGCGGTCAAAAGGTTAATGTAAAAATATCTATTTATGATGCTGTTTTCCTTAATTTGTTTATTATACTCGTATTTCAGTTCCATCACTTTTCCTCTTTTTATCTGAGGTGTCAGACAAAGCTTAGAAGGAATAAATAATTTTCCTCTCTCTACGAACAAGTCGGTAGAAATTGCTACAAAAGAAATTACATTTTCACAAAAATGTAAGACAGAAATAACTAAAATAAGGAAAAACAATGTCATATCAAATATGTACTTTATCTAGCACATAATAAATATCATTGTTCGTTGTAGTTTGGCACGGAATTTTGCCTGAAGCGCCAGAAAGCCGTCTTTAAAGAGAACTTTATTTAATGAACACTAAGAATTAAGGACGTTCAAGATATAATCGTTTTCACTCTGCGCATGACACGTGTGACTTATAACGGCGCCATTTTATTTATCGCGTGCAAAATATAACGTGTAAGAACAATTTACAAGAAATATTAAGGTTTCTCTACTCGCTAACATTATTATAATTAATTTTGGGATGAATTTTCTCAAGTGCTTCGTAAATTGTTTTAAAGGGCTGTTGATTTTTCATTAAGGACTTACGATTAGGCTCTAAATTGGTGTTTAGACTAAAAATAGATTGGACAATTTCTAACAGAAATTGGGGTTTAAATGTACATAAGCTTTGTGACTATATTGTGTACACGCAAATATTTAATATCAATTACGTATAAATTGTGGTCTGTATTAATAGGATCAAAATAATTAACGGCAGCCTCTAAGAATCGACGACGGCGACTTTTCGTGTCCGGCCCTAGTCCGGGTCATGATGCGGAGCGAGAGGGACTGGGATGCTGTCTCCTCCTTTTGCAAAGCAGTCAAGCGCCTTAAAAAGCCTCTAAGAAAGCTGTACTTTCTATTGCTAAAGATAGTAAGTAAGTAGTATCTGCCTGCTATGTACCGAAATGAACGGCAATTTTTAAGACCGTGAGACATACTGAATGAACTAAAAATTATTCGACTCACAGAGGGACTCTTCCATTAGTTGAGCTTTTATCAGTATACGTGTGTAATTCGTGATTTTTAGTTAATTTTTAAAATTCCACCTAAAATACTCGTAAAACAACAACTATGAACATGAAACTAGGATCAGAAAATTGGTGTTCACCCAATTTTCTCATCCTATTTACGTCACAGCTGGAATTCTATCCATAATCCATATTTATGTACCTATCTCACACGGTAATAAATTTCAACCAGGATCGAGATATTCCATATCTTACCTTACCTTAGACAGAAAAGGTACAAGGAGACTTTTACGAAACAAATCACAAAATCCGGCTTATACCTTGTTCTATCAATGTACTAGTTCTATTCCCAGTTCGGCTTCAGTCGGTATGTTCGTATATGTAGTTGGGTAACATAATATTCGGTCCTTTGTAAATAATAAGATAATATTGTGTGGGCGGCTTATTTGCTATACAGCGTCTCGAGGGCTTTATTAACATTTTGCTCAGGATATTGAATTTCCAAAACATCTCGGATGTCTAGCAAATTATTATTATTTGTTCAACAGTAGTTGAGGCGATGTTTTATTGTTCTTTTTTTATTTTATACCTTTATTTGAAGTGGCCAATAATTTGCTCTGACACTGTGAGTGTTAAACAAAAAGAATAAATGAAAATAGTCCTTAAACATCTATAAGGTCCAATTCTGATTGTAGGAATCGATTACCGTGTGTGTTTATGTATTAGTACTTGTACTTAGGAAAACAAGTAACGTTTACTAAATATGGAACCTCATAATCAACTGTTGCACAAACTACTGTCGTTGAACTAACAATCATCATAATATAATGTCAGTAAAGATTCACACAAAGAGCTGAATCGAAATATACCATGTTGTCTATCAGTTTATCGAAATGCAACAATTCTTTTTAATACGTTTCCTCACCCTTGGATATTCTTCTGGGTCGTGGGTGCGTAAACATACAAGTTCACATACACATCACACCCAGACCCGGAAAAACAACCTGTGGATCATACAAAGAGTTGTTCCGTGCGGGAATCGAACCCGCGACACGTTGCACGGCAGCCAGTTGCCCAACCATCGCGCCAACCATGCAGTCAAAATTTTAACGTAATATCTAAAAAAATAAATAAATATCACATATCACATAGTTCAATATCACCTGTCCAAGTTTAATTTTACGGACACAAATAAGATTGGATTTACTTCGGTACTATGAATGATTCTAATACGAATGAATTTGATATTTCGCTATCCAATTATAGAGATGTATTTGATTTGACGGGACATATTGATAGATATCGAAGTACGACTCTATTTGTGGAAAATGTATGAATGAATAAATGATTCATGTGCACGTTGGTGAATGTGCTACGCCGTAGCGCTCGTAGCAAAGGAAATTCTCTGTAATTTAGTAAATTTAGATTTTATTGCTATATAATCTAAGTCGTTTTTCCTATAATATGCTTTCGGTATTCGTATGTTTTCACTGTTACGTTTATATTTTTTTTTTTAATTTTGACAGTAACCAAAGGGTTTTAACTGACACTACCATTTTTTAAACTCTTTTGATGAATATTTCACCTTTACTTATGCAACAATTTCCTTGTCTCCAGGCTGTGCACTCTTCGGATAACCAGGCTCAGAGTATGTGGTGCGCTGGGTGAGACAGGCGGTGGCGCTGCCAGTGGCGCGGGCGCCGGCGCCGTAATCCTCGCCGCGCGCATGCACAGCTCCAAGCGCACGCTGCGGTCCAACGACATCGCAGTCCCACCGCTTGATGTCGAGCTCGACTTATGCTTCTCCTTGCAATACCCTCACTTCGTCAAACGGGATGGTAACAGGTTAGTATTATGTACACTTTGATTTAATAATATTAGTAAAGTTGCTGTGTTGATGACAGGCTTAAATTATAAACTGGCTTAAGATTAATTAAAAAGTATTTAGTCTCTTCATGAGGCAAGTCACTCACTCTACGAGTTTATTCTCAATATAGCCTCTGCTACTACTTCTATCATAATATTTCCAAGCTATTTTCGACTACGGATTCTTCACCTACTTACTGATATCTATCATGGAATCTCATATTCCTATCATAGTGAAAGAGTGTTCAGTCATTGTAACATTACTTATGTTAACTACTTAACATTATGACTATTTCTAGCAGAAAAATATGGTTCTTTCTGTCAAATTACATTAATCACCGACGCGACAAACACATGCAGTCTACCAACTTTAGCGTATATAGCGCGTCGCGTTCCGCGCGCGCCGCGCCTCAAAGAGCCATTAGACCAACACGGATGGGGCTCAATACGGTTGATACCGATTCGGAGTCGCGGAAAACCGGGTTACCGGGGCTCTGGCTCAGAGTGTCAGTAAAAGTTTGACACTCCCTCCCGCCTCACACAGGCTAGGGAAGTCATTCGATGATTTCCCCCTCATAACCTCTCGCGTGTTTCTCGTACACACGGGTGTACGAGATAGTTGAGTGCCCATCGCGCACTAATACACACGGGTGTACGAGAAACTTGCACCGATTGGATATTTTTTCTGTGACGTATATTTTCAAGTTTGCAACCCATTCTTTATTTGATTGAACAGAATAGTTAATTCGCTTTTCTATATTTACTAATAAATATTTATAACTATATTTACTAATAAATATTTAAAATAAAACGCGCGTTTACCCGTGTGTACAAGAGAGGTTAAAAAAAACTACCAACTTTTATGACATTTTAAAATCCTCGTATTATTCATTACCTCCTCAGCTTCCCACTATAATATTCTCAAGTCACAATAAAAATAATGCTATAAAAGTCGACTGCATATAAACAGTGTGTCTCTCATCACTCGTTATTAAGACATTATTCTAGTTTTTGCAACGTGCGTCTGTTTGTTTATATAGATTTTATTGGCTTTTTATATAGCTAGTAAAAAGTAGGCGTTAAAGTATTCGTGTTTTACGGTCAAGGTGTGTTTTGTAATCGATCTTTTCCTGTCCATACATTTCTAGCTAATTGTCAGTTTTTCTCTCTTGATGAATGATGTTTACATTTAGTGTATGTACAAGTATGTACATTGTGTTGTGCACTATATTTTGTTGTATCTCTGACTGACTGAAGTATTTTGAATTCTAGATTTTATATCAAAATGTCTTTCTTAGCCTTGTTACTAGTAATTGCTTTTTGTTCATAAAAAACGAAAAATTTAGGGAATCCCAATATCACTACATAGTATAAAATAAAGTCGCTATCCGCCGTCTGTCTGTCCCTATGTATGCTTAGATCTTTAAAACTACGCAACGGATTTTGATGCGGTTACTTTTAACAGATAGAGTGATTCTTAAGGAAGGTTTCTATGTATAATACATGCATATTGCTATCGTGCGACGCCGGGGCGGGTTGCTAGTATACCTATAATGTCGCAGACAACGTAACGGGTTACTGGGGCTCCGGCTCGAAGTGCAGGAGAAGGAACGGGGTGGTTTTTAGTCAGTAAGAGTAACACTTCCTTCCGCCTCACCCAGGCGGGAGAAATCATTAGATGACTTTCCCCCCTTAAAAAAAGTATACCTATAATACATTTGACACACAAATAGACAACTAAACACAGCAATCTTACTAAAACCTACATTCAACTCCCATAACGGTCATAAAGAAGCTATTTTAAAACCTAGTCTTTTGGCCATCTCTCAGTACTTGAGTCAAACAACGTGGTATAAACATTCTGGCCAATAAAAGGGAACATAAAAGTACACTGGAAGCGACTGACGATCTAATGGTCAATCTTCAAAGGATCTTTCATGTGTGTTTTGTTTACAATACGATTAATCGTATAATCGGTTTGCTCTCGATACTGTAGCGATTACAACTTTGTTTTTTTAACATTCGTTTTATTAACATATTATTTGATTTTGACAGGCGTAATGATTGAGTGGATCGTTCGATTTCTGGGTTGGTTAGGTCTTGATTGAATTTGTAAGAGACAAAGATGAGGTTATACGTTTAAGATGTTCACCATTACCTACCCTACTCTATTCATGTATAAAATGGTTGACAAAATGTGTAATAATTGTATGGTTTAACTAAAACTTTCATGCCGATAATATGTAATAGAGACTATGATTTTTAAATATTTATTCTCGATTTCAGATTACAAATCATGCTACAGCGTCGCAAGAAGTACAAGAACCGCACAATTTTGGGATACAAGACTTTAGCCGAGGGTGTTATCAGGATGGACCAGGTAAATAACATGCAGAAAATTAATATAAGTTATTAATATACCCTTCGCAGTTCTGGTATATTAACTAGTTCCATTTTTCTACATGGTCTGCAACGTATTTGTGACACCTCTGATATGGTCGCTGTACTTAGCCTACAATGACTGCCTGCTTACCTTCAGGGCGCCATTAGCTGTGTTGCTACAAATATTAGCAAAACGATATATCGATTTTTAAACGAAAAAGTGGTCAAGGAAAATGAAAACTGATTTTTTCCGAAGATAGTATTAGAAGTCCTTCTTTTATGAAATAAACCAGAAATTGGTCTTGTTCTTCCATATTGACAAGCATTGTAGTTTAGTTCATAACCATAACACCATGGTACGATGCACAATTCCGATCCTGTTATGGTCGAATCTTCTCGCTCCACTGACCATATGATGTAGTTAGTGGACGCTGCCAATTGTCTTGTAACTGTATAGGATATGACATGGAGTGAATAATGGATGATAGTGGTCAATCCGGTCATCCTCTACCTATACCTCTATAGATTTGAATTGCATTTTCATAGAGGTTCTGTGTTTTTGTTCCAAGGAGAGCATATGAGGGTCTTCTTTTTTTGCTAGTCTGTTCCTAATTAATTTTGAGGTTGGCAGGTCGGCAGTTAGTCAAGGATGACAAGGATATTTCCTGTATTTTTTGTTTTCAAAATGGTTTCTGTCAAGCCCAATGAAAAATATCCTAACGTAGGCGTAGGTATTGTTTCAAAGAATTTATATTGGCAAGTCATTCTTCAAAACGATCAAAGCTTTTATGGCAAGTCTTCAATAAAAAAGAAACGAAATAAAAACATACAGATTTCTTTTTCCAATCTGGTCAGAGATCCAGTCCCCAGATGTTCCCAAGGTCAAAGGTCACATCTGAAAATAACTCTTTCAAATATATCTTTCGACAATAAAGCTATGATCTCAGTGTTTCGGAGTTATAAACCGAGTCGATTGATTCTTGGAGGGTCGTTGTAAATCTATACTGTAGTCTGTCATCGATTCTACGATGCCTAAATTGGTTCCAGAATATTTGATATTGTGGTTTTTGAAGTCAAATAGTGATTCGAATGTCCAAACTGAAAAAGATATACCGATTCGTTCGTTTGTCGATACTGATTTTATAGATTTATTCGTTACCTTCTGTCGGCTAGATTTCGATTTTAATAAATGATCATTTGACAGTTAGATTCTAGAAATCCAACCTATATACCGCGAAATCGATATTGTTTACGTCCCGAAGTAAAATGGTTCTGTCTCGGTAGAACCATTGCAAAAAGCAAACTTCGAAAGCGCATACGAACTCATAGTACATTATCAAAACATCAGGCCGTGTAGTTGGTGGAGAGGTATTTCTCATCGGGTGGCACGTGCGATGCGAATAGTGCCTATAAATTTACGTCTAAAAATATAACACCTGTATATTTTGTTTTTACTTTGTACACACGGCCACACATCAATCTATACAAAACCAGTTTACCCTGGTGTCGCGTCGCATCATCTTTCCGCACATTTAACGTTCAGTTTATACTGGTTATGTAAAGCTCGATGTGTAGCCCTGTGTACATCGAATCCTTCTTATGACAAGTTCTTTTGCCAAGCGATAAAAACAAAATTTTGTACGTGTATAGTTCGAATACAAACAAATAGATTTTAGTTGTTATTTATATTAGACTAAACGATTTTTATGTATTTCAGTACGAACAACGAACAATTCCTTGGCATTGGTTGGTACTAGGTACTAAGTATCACTGGTATTTTGTCCTTGGTTTTTCTTAGAACTAATTTTAGTTCTGTATTTGCTTAATATTTAGTAAGTAAGTAATTTATACGTATTTACACGTCGTGGTGGCCCAGAGGTTTATGACGCACTTCTCATACATGAGGGTGCTGGTTCGAAACCTACCAACGGCAAGTACCAATGTGACTTTTTCCGAGTCATATGTACTTTCTAAGATTATTTAGACACCACTAACAAACGGTGAAGGAAAACATCGTAAGGAAACCTGGACTTTTATTTTCTAATAATTATAAGTTTGAAATCACCAACACGTATTGAGCAAGCGTGGTGATTAATGCTCAAACCTTCTCCGTGTGAGAAGAGTCTTTGCTCGGCAGTCGGCATTTATAAATTGTTGATGATGAAGTAATTTATAAGTATGACAGTGGGACAGTCAGTATATAAAAACTTTCCATTAGTTTTAGAGAAATTATGTCAAGTTGGGGATCGTAAAGGATCTTTTAAAAAAAAAACCATGATTTCTTCTACATCATAATATAATGCAATATAGTTTTATAAAATTAAATAGGGCGATAATGTAAAAAATACCCTTCACAATACAAAAAAAAATAACCGCACAATCATTACCATCAGTTTTTTCCCGTTTAATGTCCGCACTGGACGCGTCCGCTAAATCCATTTACCCCACACATCAAACTACACAAAACCAGTTTATCGTGGTCACACTTCCTATGATCTTTCCATACAATCAACGGTCAGTTTATACTGGTTATTCGTAGTTGTGTGTATCTGCATATGTGTACAGATATTTTATGTACGTGTGTGTGTATGTATGTAGATAACTCCTTAAATTATCCGCTTAATTGCATCGCCCTCATTATCAAGGCTCAGGACATTTGTCGGTAATTAGTGAGTCACTAGAAATGCGTTCCAGCGGGTTTAATTTGTTATCGCTCTCTCTTTGCATACCTTTGTATGATAGGGCTAAGGATTCAAAGCTCGTTTATTTCTGGAATCGTTTATTTGTTTTAAATGTTATAGGATAACGTACGCCTGCCTTATTGGCCGAGTGGTCGCAAGTGCGACTGCCAGGCAAGGGGTCTCGGGTTCGATTCTCGGGTCGGGCAAAGTATTACTAGGTTTTAAAAAAAATCTCAGTAGTAGCACGGAGTCTGGAATTGTGCCCGGTATATGGCAATAGGCTCACCCCCTCCCTATTACATGGGACTCATAACATAAATAGTGAAAAGTGGGTGTTACATTGTACAGTGGCATAATGTGCACCTCTGCCTACGCCTTCGGGGATAAAAGGCGTGATGTTATGTTATGTTGTATTAAAATCAAGTCAGAATACTGGAAAAGTGATGGCAGAGGTGCACAGAGCTTAGTACGAGTTTCTTTTACGTTTAAAGTAATTGAAACGAGACCGCATTCGGGACTGTGATTGGTTGATTCATTGGGGCAGGCCTCAGGTATTTTAATGTGGTATCAATTTTTTGGCAGTCATAATGTAAACCTCTAAGGGCATCTCATTTTCACTAGGCCTAATTCATAACTCCTGCCATGAAAAAAAAAAATCAATAATCCTGTAACATCCCATGCTTTAGCTGTCCTAATGATGAGTGCTGTATGTACTGAGATTTTTTATATATTTTTTTTATACCACGACACGGTGGCAAGAAAAGCACACGGCCCACCTGATGGTAAGTGGTTACCGTAGCCTACGAACGCTTGGAACACATGGGTCATTACATGCGTCTTGCCGACCCTTTATAAACCTATTTACTTCTTTCTTAAAGAACCCCATAATGCAGCCATTAGAAGTTGATTTTTTTAACCAATCGACCTGGTTCTCCGGAGCGCCTATGTATGAAGCAACCAGCTTATTACAAATTACATTCTATCGCCAATACACAATTCTACCACAATGAATTAATCTGACCTACATAATACCTTGATTGTCCTGTTACCTCGTTTAGTTCAGTGACCGGTAATCGATGTACAAATTTGAATAGGCTAACAGTTTCCTACTAATGTGTGTGAACTGCGAACCTCGGGTGGTTGGCGTCACAAATTGATGTGGACTGTGGACTATTGTCAGTACCTACACTGATTATAGGTATTATGTTTAATGGGGCAGTTAAAGGTGTAGTATGCACCATATAATGTAGTTTATTATAGCTGCACATTAGTATTTTCAATTTTGTACCGATAGGGTTGACATTATCATCGTTACCATCAGTCGGAAATTATGAATCGATTACGAAAATTATGAATCATCGTTACAATCAATCGGAAATTATCAATGCAGAAAAAGAAGCGACCCTATTAGTCCATCACGCCAAACGGTAACTTGCCACTTAGACAGTGACTAGATTTTTATAGATTGCAAGTTTTACAGTGAAAGCAATTATTAAGATTAGGACGGGCTGATTATATTGGAGACAATGCCAGGGGCATTAAGACCACGATATGCGCATGAAGCGCCTATAAATAAATAAATTATTGATTTAAGATTATTGATTGCAGTCAAAATGACGGTGTAAAATAAAACAGTAATGAGTTCTTTTCTCACTGTTTTTCTCATTTGTCTATTCTTTCGTTGCAGGTACTTCAAAGGTCGATGGACATGGAGCTGGAGCTGACAGGTGTTGGTGGCAAAGTGGGCGCTGCTGCAGGACAGCCAGTCGCCAAGCTGACCATCACCGGCCTCGCGTCCACACCCGTAGACCATGATACTAAGAACAATAATACTTTGCTTATTACAGGTACGTTTTTTAGTTGAAACAGCTACTTGGGTGTCATAGGTCGTAGGTCATAAAGTTAGTATTGAATGTTTTATGAACCTACTATGTTCCACTGGTATATTGATATGTTGTTGATAAGGATAGCTACATAGGATCGTGATCGAAAATATTTAGTACATGAGGGCAATCGGGGTTTTAAAAGCACCAAATGTATCGTAGGGTTGCTTTGAAATTGAACTCCACAGTTTAATATTATTATCTATCTTTCAAAATATGTTTGCAACATGAATTTATGATAAATAACTGAATGACTACACTTAATATGCTATTAATTCACAGAACGAGGCTATTCAGATGAAGAAGAAGAAGGGGAATTCAGTTCGGTGGAGGAAGCCGATGAAATGACGTACGGAGCTCCCGCCAGGCGGCGCGCGCATCGACAATTGGCGTTCAACAAAACTGATTTATCGTATACCAAGGTAATATTGCATGTACCAAGTTAATATAGTTTTAAAGAGCAGATCAAAATGAATAATTTTAAATGTAGCACTCGAATTGTTATATCATGTACGGTTTTACAATTTTTTTTTTATCTGTATAAATTATTATTAATACTTAGGTACGTAGTTTTTTTCTAGGACTGGAAGTAAATTCATGAAACTCTATTTGAGTATTTGTTTTTTTTTACATTAGCTATTTTATTATTCTAGTACGTTACTGCAAAGAATTTTTAAGTTTATATAAATAATAATTTGAATATAATATTAGGTTAGTCGACGACGGTTTTTGCTTATCTAATTTTCATTAAAATTCTCAAGAAAGAAAATGCATGGTTTGACAAATACGCTTTCGCTTAAGGGTGCTTTTCATATTATCGTGGTTTTATCATTTACAGGCCGAAATAATACTGAAAATGTACAATATCATATTTATTTGATTATAGCTTCTATTTAGTAGAAGTTAAGGCTTATTATAGCTTGTGCGTAATAGGCGTTGCATTGCACGCAGTTGTCCCGTTCTCGCGACTTGAGCTTCATGGAGCGCGAGCGAAAGAGACAGAGCTATATAAACTCTAAGGCGAACGACAGAGACAGCGACAGTGAGCTAGAGACTGCGGCCGCGAAACGCAAGGGCAGCCGCGGGAAGCTCGCGGTGAGCGCCTGCGCACGCACGCTTACTGCCGTACTCAGATACATTTAATGATCAAACTATTCCTTACTAAAGATTTTATTTTGAAAACAATTGCTAAGGACTGGGTTAAGTATACTAAGTGACTCTGAATATGGCGGTTAGTGTTACCCGTATGAGAATAGAAATTACGATGATCACATCACACTTCTGTCACACATGACGTATTTTATTCAAAAGAGCACACTGACAATAAATTGGCATGAACATTTCAAAACAACAGTATCTGATGCATGTCGAATAAACGTTCAATATCTTCCTATGAACACACTGCGCACGCGTCACTCTTGAGATTAAACTTCTGTGAACTATTAATTAATAATTATTTGTTATCTATGAATGATTGAATTAGTTTGGTGTTGTCCGGTTTGCATGTTTCCTTTGTTTGTGTTACCCGCGTAGAAAAATCTTTTAAATCCTGGCAACATTTACACTCTTCATTCAAAATTAATGCAATTCTCTCCTCAAAGGAAAATTAATTTTAAAATTACTTGTATAAAATCTAAAATTTCTATTCTCATACTATAGAGATGTGGTCTTCTAGTTTGGGATAGCATGCATCCTGTTATTAGATTTTCTGTAGAGTATTTCATTTTAGTCGTTAGTTCAAAAGCAAATAGAAGCTACATTTTAATTGTAGTCATAGTTATTTGACACAAATCCCGCTTTAAATTGATGTATCCCTAAATGAAACAAAATTTTGCTCAATTTTAATTCTAAAAGAATTTAAAAAAATGTTGATAAAGAGAATAAAATAGTATTTGGACCAGAAAAGTCTTTTAGCTTTAAGCTTAACATATAAAAAATAAAAAATCACATAAAATACCTAGTCAACTCTGCCAATCTTCCCTCAAAAAGTTCAAAGGGCATATTGCCGTTAAATTTCCAGGCTCGCGTTGACACATTACAGCTGTGTATTTGGCGCAGCAACTCTGCAATGCTTATGGTATTCCCGTCCAGGTGTTGGTGAGCTGCCTGCCTCATCCCCATCTCATATACCGTATTGTAGATGCTGTTTAGGAGTGCCATAATCGTTCATTCATGATAAATTTTAATCCACAAAATGTTGCTATTCGATTGTATCAGAGAATCTCTAATCTCTTCTGTACAGAACACTAGTCTATTTTTGTTTCCTTAATTTTAGTTTTTTACACACTTTTTGCTACCAAAATACCTAAATTGCAATGAGTTAGACTGAAGATTATCTAATTCAAAACATATCTAGTCCAAAATGTGAACTGCGTGCCACCAATACTGTGTCTAATTATTACGGAGAACAAAGTAACATAGCATCACGCTTTTTATCCCCAAAGCAGTAAGCAGAAGTGCACATTACCTACATCACTTAATGCCACTGTATAATGTAACACCCACTTTTCACTATTTATGTTATGAAACCCATGTAATAGGGGTGAACCTATTGCCATATACCAGGCACAAATCCTGACTCCGTGCTACTGCCGAGAATTAAAAAAAAACCAATAATAGTTTGCCCCACCCTGGGAATCGAACCACTCGGCCAACGAGGCAGTCTACACAACAAAGACAGATAGACAACGAGAACAAAGGATATTTTTATCTCCAATATTTTCAAGAACAAACTTTCTTCAATTCCGTACAGCATGTTATCACGTTATCATTTGCGACGTAAACAATTATGACATAATGTTTGGTGGCTTATCGTTACCATAGATTAGATTAGATCACCTATGACATTTTAACACAGTGGCTCCAGTACTGAACGGTCCATGGAGGTGAAAGCTGTACGTATACGTCATATGCGCGTGCGCATCCCTGTGTTTTTGCCAAGCAGGAGACTTATAAAGTGTGTTTATACTTCGACTCGTTGATTTCATACAAGTTAAATACTGAAATAACGCCAAAGTGAAGCTTATTTGTAATAAGATTATATTATTATAAAAGTGGTTGTTTTTTAAGAGTTGAAATATAAATTCCTATTGTGTTGTGTTTGTGTGGTGTTGTATTATGTATACATATGTGTGGTATTTGGGTTTGGTGATAATTAGAAATTGGAATGCGTGTTTGTTGTTCTTTAGTACTTTTGTACTCGTTTTCCTTGCCGTGGCCTTATACAATAAACAATTAGCTACATATAATAATCTTTATTAATATGGTTACATTAATTATAATATGGTACATATAGAAAAAGGAAATGACAAACATAAATAAAGAATAATAATAGCCACAAAGGCGGTCTTATCACTTATAGTGATTTCTACCAGACAACCTTTGGGTGGACATAATGTAAAAGAAATATTTAGACTGGTTGATGTTATGACCTTCGTGTTTTTATAATGGGTGTTATACTTAAAATGACATGACAATCTCATCTCTTATCTTATATGTTAATAATGAGTGACTCTCGCTTAAAATATCCTCAAGGCTTCGGTTCTTTGAAAATTCAGTAGGTTCAACTACATAAAATACTAGCTACTTCCGCGCGGTTTCACTCGCTCTGCTCGGCGCTTATTAATCGTAGCGTGATATTTTATAGCCTATAGCCTTCCTCGATAAATGGGCTATCCAACACAGAAATAATTTTTCAAATCGGAGCAGCAGTTTCGGAGATTAGCGTTCAAACAAACAAACAAGAAACTAACTCTTCAGCTTTATAATATTAGTACTTGCCATAGGTAGTTTGTCCTTCAGAGGTCATTGTAGATTATAATATCTAGACTTAGGACCCTCAGCATGTACTTTATTAAATTACATACACGAATATTTATCATCGATGCCTTATTTTTGTTTATTACAAAAATAACTAAAACTATAATGAAATGATTCACCATTCTATAGATATCGTTGATAAGATAAAAAATAAAAACAAAATTTAAAAACTCTTTATCTGTACTTAAAACTATTATTATTATATTATTGCGATGAATGAGTAATTGTTATTATAATAATACCAGCTTTTACCCGCGGCTTCGCTCACGTTACAAAAGGATAAAAAGTAGCCTATGTGACATATACCAATACATACAGCGCCATCTATACCAATACATTTGTTTTCCATCGGCAATATCAAATTTTTCCGGAATAAAAAGTACCCTATTATTTAATCCGGACTTCTACCTTTACGTCTGCAAAAATTCAAAGCAATCTGTTAAGTAGTTACGGCGTGAAAGCGGAACAAACAAACAAACTCACTTTTCGATTTATAATATTATAGTAAGGATTACATCGGAATGATGTATTTAGGTACTCTCTTACTAAAATCCTCATTTATCTTTTTACCTTGAAATGGTGAAGGGAAAATAAATTGCCAATAAATATATACTTCTCATCTTTTACACTTATAGGAAAACACTTTAATCCTGTAAGCTAATTCACAAAGTATTCATTGAAACTAGTTAAAATATGAGTAGCCTATTAATTTTGTTAAATCACTTAGTATACGCAAAAACAAATTCAAGCAAAATACAAATCATAACAATCTCCACTAGTTATTATTATCACGTAGGAAAATACACTTCTTTCTTCGAGCACAAAAAAGAACAATAATTTAATATAAATTGTAATATAACATTTAACACCCTGTTACAGCAACGCAACTTGAAGCAGAAGTTCGCGGCGTTGTTGCGGCGGTTCCGAGTCCCCGAGGAACTGTCGGAGCGAGGCGCAACAAGGGACACGCATCATGCCCAACACGACATTGATGAACTATTCCAGGTACGTTACGTGGTGTGTTGCTGCAACGTACACTTGCAACATAACCTCTAAAGACAGTTATAACTAAAGTAGTATTTTTTTCTGTCAGATTGTGTTGTTAATTTTAAAATATTTAATAATTTCCAGGAACTGGAATCTTTATCATGCGGCGAGGGCGAGGATTCAGGTCCAGATCAGATGGATACCATCAGCATCGGTTCCACACCCAAACCCTCGCTGAGACCTTTCTTCAGCAGCTCCAGGAGTCTCGCCAACCAGGAGCATCACAGGCATTCCAACGGTATGTACCCGAATGCAACGTGATGTCAGCAATCTTAAAAACAACGTTGCCTAGCTCTTGGTCTCATTTTAGAAGATTTTACACGATTTGTTTTAGAAAATTTACATTTTACCTTTTATAATTTTATATTATACTTTTTTCCTATTGTAATATTTGTTTAAATAAATATTAATTTTGTATATCGTTTTTCATTTCTTTTAATGTCCAAGTTTAATTTAACATACGTTCCGTATATTTCAAAGATTTCGTTCATACAATAGTTCATTTGGTCTCAATCTTCCAAAGTTAGACCAGGAGCTGACAAACATACATGCATAGTCATCCATTTATAACACAACTAGTGTATGGTAAAAATATAATGTTAATCAGTAACAATTAATTGCCTGAGCATCGAAGCGTACATTTGATGATGCATTGTGACGTAATACGCTTAACTTTTGTTTATGCTTACATACATTTTAATGATACAGTACATTTATACATACATTGAGATATTTTATGTTTTGTTCTGTAACGCTGTGTGCATTAGATTAGTTTGTGTGCGAGGTGGAATACGATCGATGTGGGCCATGATGTTATTCACATAACGTATTATGAGCACTGTTTACCAAAAAATATTAAACGTCAGTATCAATGTGCAAGGCCCATAAATTAACAAACTACTCCGAGGCATTGGTCTTAACAAACACATACAAAACAAAAAGACACAATAACTCATTGGTGAATACACAAAGTGCACCGCAAACTAAATGTGCGGCGGTATTCCACGTTGCACGCGGTGACTGAAGGTGCATGCGCAGTGGTGCGGCACGCGAGCGTCGCGTCCGGGGCCGAGCTCGCCGCGCTGCGCGAGAGACACATCAGCACGCAGCCGCTCACAGGTAGGCAGGATACTGTTGCGCCATGAAACTATACATGTTTCTCGGACAAACCTTAAGGACCATTCTCACAACAGAGTCACATTACCAGTGTTTTGTTATTAAAGAAGAGGGTAAAAGTAACTTTATAAACAAATTAAAATATCGAATATTGATTAATATATAGAAAAAATTAACTAAATTGAGGTAAATATGGGAGCGTTATAATTTGGGATAAACTCATGGTAAGTTAAAATCACTCTTCGTGATATAATAAGATGGGATATCAATTATAGCCACTAGGTCTTGGGCTACAGAGGCTAAAGTTCCATAAAGAAAAGTATTTATTGTGCATGGAAAAATATGAATATGTTACACTTTGATTATGATACTGTGTTTAAATATTTAAACGAGTAAGTTGGATTTAAATAAATGTTTGATCGAGATTGACAAAAGAAATTTATTTACGGTCACTTTACACACATATTTCTTCTTTATTTTTTGTTAAACAATCTCTATCAAATGATTAGTTTATTATGACTATTAGCGTGCTTCTGTCTGTAATTTTATGTTATTATATTATTCACTATATCACTGCTTCCTGTCTTCACCCGACGCTATACAGGGTGGCACTATTGCATGGTTTGATCAACTTTTACTTACGTTTCATTATTTACTACTGTCTATCCTAATTTATCATTAAACCTAATTCTTTACAGAACTCTATTTATTTATACGAAATCAAGCTTTGGTGTTCATGTTTATACAGGGCGATAAAAAACAAAATAAACATTTTTAAAATGGTTTACAGTAACAAAAATAAAATTGGATAATTTCTAAAGTACACAACAATTTGACTATAATTTTTTTAGAACACACTCTGTATAATGACTTCAAATATTTTTTCATAACAAAAAACAAAGCTTTAGCTTATAAACTTGCCATCTAACAAGTCTGAATGGTATGACATCAGAATCAGAAGCGGTCAGAAGTTCTGCTGGTGACGAGAGAGCCAGCGATGGTAACAGTGACGGTGATGCCACCATTGACGCGCCCGTGTCGGGAGCTTCAGTATCCAGCTCCCCGCCTAACGAGATCAAGGTCAGGGTTAGTTGAAAACGTTTTTATATTCTTTTAGAAATATTTATTAAAATAAGTATTATAATGATAAAGGAAATTATACAATTCGGAAGTTATACTGTCGAGTTGGAATTTGCAAGATGCGGCGACTCATGCGTTTTAAGTCTTGTCACTTATATTTTTCTATTTTGTGTCGCTGTTTAATTATTTACTTTAGATCAGATAATTTTCAGAATGGTGTCTTGAAATGAATAGCTTTAAATGAATATTTAAATTTTTTTGTAGATGATTGAGATAATTTGGTTATTTCAGGAGGACAAACGGTCCCGGTTATTTCGTAGTGCGACGAGCGGTGGCAACCTTATACCGGGGGGCGGGGTCACGCGCAAGAAGAACTCGCTCGTAGTGGGCGCCGAGAGACCGCTCTCTGCGCACGAGTTGCCCGCACAGAGTCCCACCACTTTAGAGGTAAAAAATATTACGTCAAGCAATTTCTAAGTGTAAGTGGAAAAGCAATATATCTGATACGATTTTGGGTAATTCTGTTGTATATAAGGTCTAATTTATTAAATTTTTCAACGTAAATTAACGTAACATATTTGTTCTCCTGAGCCCTGAGCCCTGAACACTCGTGCTACCATTGACTTTTTGAACACAATCGTTTTTACAATTTAACTGTTTTTATTTGAATGTCTTTGGAGGGGACTTATATTCAGTTGTGAACGTCCAGTGTTGATATGTTGATTACGATGAGTAACAATTTGGTATCTGGAGAAAATAAAATGTTGTACATTCCAGCCGCGCCGTACATGGGCGGAGCAGGTGTCTCGTCTGGCGGGCGAGGAGCTGGCGGGCGAGTGCGTGGGCGTGTGCGGCGCGGGCGCGGGCGCGGCGCAGGCGGCGCTGCTGGCGCTGCGCGTGCCGGCCGCCACCGCGCCCTCGCCCGCGCCCGACCCGCGCCCGCTGCTGCACGCGCTCATATCTAGGGCTAAGCAGTAAGTCACCAATTAATTTTTATTAACCAGTTTTATTTAGATTGCTCTGTTTGTTTGTTTGGGTCAAATAGTAATTGGAATTTTACCTTTTTCCTAATGACAAATTGATCTGATAGTAGAGTATGTAACAAGGTACAAGGTACGGTAAGGTACCAATACCAAGGTACATACTCTTAATCTTGATGATCATTGGCTCCTATTGACTGTTTAGTGATTTTTATAGCCCATAGCGTTTCTAGATACATTGACTATCTACTACAAGAAGAATGATTCAATTGAGACTTTTAGTTACGGCGATTAGCGCGTTCAAACAAGAATATAAAGAAACTTTTCAGATATGTATTGGTAAAGACGTAGTAGTAATGACATTATAATTATACTTTAACCTAATACTTAAATGTTTCGTTGAACAGAGGCACCCGTCGCTCGTGTATCCGCGTGGCAATCTGCGGCGGCGACGCGGCGGCCAGCGCGGCCCTGCGCGCGCACGCAGAGCTCGGCGCGCGCCGCCCGCACGACGCGCCCACGCTGCGGTTCTACATCGTGCCTATAGGTCACTCACTAAATACGTTTTGCAGGAAAAAAGAAAGTCCCGTGTGTGTGTCAAATGTAACAGGATAGTTCCTTGACCCATTCCAGTCTCTATGATGAAGATTACCCAGTTTCCCTAAACGTTAAAGTTAAACGTTAACGTTCCTAAAACCTAGAAGTAAAAGCGTAACCATTATTTTTTGTTGTAATAATGTTAAAGTATGCGCTTACGCAATTAGCGGGATCAGTTTTCTGTCAGTTAATAATCTTTCTCTACAATGTTTGAACAACGCAACGAGGATTGGGTCTCGCAAGAGCAAACAAACGTTCGCGGATTTATCATTGTGACTATCACTTATCCTTCAAGATTTTAACTCGTCGAGTACCGGTTTTGTAGACACAATTATAGAACAATAGGTTGCGGTCACCGGTGACCGCTTGGTGTTTGACAGTTTAAAACACTGATTTATCAAGTTCTCTTTTTAAAACTTCTAATCCCTTCCAGGCCCCAGCGTGATAGCGCGCCACCTGGCGGCGTCAGACGGCGGCTACGCGTCGTTGTTCACGGGCGACTCCTGGGCCAACATCTGCGAGCGAGCCGCCGAGGGCTCCGCGCCTGATGTCGCTGAAATGTCCTCCAGGATCGGCAGGTATATAGGAGATTGAAACTTAATGTGGTACTCTTAAGGGTTATGTTTGGAAGACTTTAAGGTCTTATTTTGCCTGGCTGACTATAAAAATTACGTACCAAATAGATAATTAATATTTATAAATTACTCGTGTACTGTGTTTGAAAACGGTCGACTAGTTTTGAGGCAGTCAGGGCTCATAATTCTTTCAACAAATACTCACTAAAAGCCTTATTGAAAATGTATTGTATTACAGGTATCTGAACAGCATCGGTCCAGTGAACAACGTGCCGATCGGCGAGGCGATGGTGGCGTATAGAGAGAAGTCGGGCGACGAGGACGCCAGCCAGACATTCGTGCCCTTCATTGCGGTAATATACTCATACTAATGACAGATCCATTTATACTGGCGATCAAATTCAATGTTTCTTTTTAAAATGAAAAATATACAAGATGAATGAAACTCCAGCTTTAAACTACTTATCAGATTTTACAAATAAAATGAAATGATAATGATATTTAGACAGAACCTAAGAACAAAAATGCACTTTATAGAGCCCTTTTTATAGTATCTCATCTTTAATGAGACATGTGTTTCCCACAGTTTGATATAAAACAGGCTGTTTAGTGTTTTTTACATTATGTGTCAATAATTGGGTAGTTCCCAGGGTATCATAATTAAAAATCTAATTAGTCCGTCAGTTAGATAATGAAAAAATATAAGACACGTATTTATTTATTTTCTAGTATTACGTTGCAATACTTAGATAAAATGGCTCTAAGTTTAGGAGTGGGAGGTAGTTACGTCATAACGTGCTACAAAATGTGGCACGCTGTGACGTCACACGATATTTCAAATTAATATATCATCGAAAGTATTTAATTTTGTGAGAAAAGAAAAAACACGTGTCTAATGTTTTAAATTAATCTACCAGACGGACATTAAAATAAAATGTAGGAAACTAACCTATTGTGTAGACAATATAATCTAATCTTACTCAATTTTATTCTATTCTACACAGGAGGTGAGAGTAGGTTGCAGTGAGGGCGGAGTATCCTCCCTGGAGTTAGAAGAAGGTGGCTCTCCCCCTGCCCGAGCGTCTCCCCCCGCGACCCCGGCGCCCCACCCCCACGTGGCCCCCCACATGACGGAGCTCACCGCTGCTCCCCTGCCGCTACCCCTACTTGCAAGGACTGAACCACTTGAGCTGCAGTTGGATTATTGGCTGGTACTTAAGATTTTTTACTTAATTATTTTTATTATTTATAAAGAGGGCTTTAAGATGTCGCTAGTGAAGCACAAGGACTGAAGACTAGTATACTACTCCAATTTGATTACCTATTACAATTTTGCGTGCTGATGTCTCTTTACGTTGTAGTTTTACTGTTTCTTTACTATGGTACTTATTAATGGGTGTGAACTTATTTATATTTCAAGCGCCGCCTGTTGAGCACGAAAAAATGTTATCGCCTGGAGACCCTAAGTCAAAATTTCGACTAAGCCTTTACAATAAATATCGATTTTTATAAATTTGTTGTTCTAAACGTCTTATCTGACCATATAATTAATTTTACTGGAAATTAATTAGGTATAATGAAATTACACTAACTCCTTTTATTACCTATGTAGGTCCCAGGCCGCCAGCCCGACGGCACGGACAGTAAGGTGACGGTGAAGGCATCCTTCCGCGCACTGCACGTCACGCGACAGAACGCGCACCTCAGCATCACGTACCTTACCAAGGAGAAGAAGCAGAAGAGTTAGTATTATTTACGCTTTATATTTAGAAATAACATAGTTTTTCTATAGTATTTTTTTTAAGGGGGAAAATCATCAAATGACTTCTCCCACCTGGGTGAGGCGGGAGGGAGTGTCAGACTCTTACTGACTAAAAACCACCCCGTTTCTTCTCCTGCACGTCCAGCCGGAGCCCCGGTTACCCGTTAGGTTCTCCGCGACACTTTGCTATGGTATAGGGCGGCAATCGAGCAGAAGGAAATATTTATGGTTATATAGTGATCAGCGTCGCCTATGGACATCTATGACACTAGACTAGAGGAGTTCAATTGCGTTGCCCGGTTTTTGGCGATTAGTAATTTTGGGATTGGAAGTTTGAGGATTAAAGATGTGGGGGACTCCAGAGTAAGATTTGTGTCTAAACTTGGAAATCTTTAATAATAGTTTTTGATAACACATTTTATAATAACTACTTCCTTTAACCACACATTTATTTCTGATTTAATTAAATTACATTTAAATTAATTGTTTGTAATTTATTCCAGTAATGCGGCTGGGCAAGAAGAAGGAGAAGACGGGCGAGGCCGAAGTAGGACGCGCACAGACCGTAGATGGAGTCGCAAGACTTATATGCTCCGCCAAGAGCTCTCACAACGTGCCGCTCAAAGGTAAACCTTATTGCTTTGTTTTTATGGTAGGCTTTCAGTTCGAATTGTAAAATGTTAAATTGTAATTTTGTTCTTTGTGAATATTTTATTAATAATTGTATGCATTTTTCGCAGTATACATAGACGGCATGGAGCTGAATGGCGTGAAGTTCTTCCAGTTATCGACGCAGTGGCAGACACACGTCAAGACATTCCCCGTCGCCACCTGCGGGGCCCCGCTCGCACCGCCTGAGTCGTAGGGGCCCGGTGCCCATTTCCCCGCTACTATTTTGCAGGCCCCTTGGGTCCCTGGCCTCATAGGCCTGACTAGCGCTCGCCCATCTCCGGCCCGCTCGGAAGCACTCAGCGAAGCTACGAAATGAGGCTCTAAACTTAGTCTTGCGTACCGACAAATGTATTGTATAACGTTTATTTATTAAGCTGTCAAGCTGCCATGATTATAGCGTAGGATTCGCCTTGTGTTATGTACCTTGAGTTCGTTATATATCCATGTATTCCTGTAGTATATAGCTCGCCGTATACTCGCATGCTGTATGGTGTCGTGATTCAAGCTACATAATGCAGGCTCAAGCGTTAACTGTATCGTCATAGTCATTCATTCATTAGTTATCGTATTTAATATATTATAATGTAGTCGTTATCTGTGTACTCAGTATATATCGAGAAATAATGGTTCGTGACATTTCCAATATGTGTATGTAATATAAGTTAGTGTGTGTGTGAGCTTGGCATGGCTGTGTGTGTACTTTCAACGAATATAAGCTTACGTGTAGCCAAAATTTCGCCGAATTCCGATAGTTGTGCGTCGGGCGTCGGCTTGTAAGGACCTCGTGCAGTGCGCGAGGCAGTGATAGCGTAGTGTTACTGGAGCGAGTATCGTCGGCACATATCAACGTAGGTTCGGTTCCAGTGTTGTGCGCGATTTTATTTTTGATCTGTGATTCGTGAATGCAGTTTTTTTTAATATCCTAAGGCAATGGAAACGCGTTGTTGCAAGTCATATTTTTGTGTAATTTTTTACATAAGCGCAGCTAACAATGCGTTGTCAACATTTATAATTTTGTACGGCAAACAATGAACTTTTGAATGAAGTGTAGATTTTTACGTAAACTTGATTAATTTTAAAAGTATTAGTAGTTACATGTAAATCTTCCTAATCGCTTATACTTGCATAGATTGAACGATGTCTTCGATTTACTTGAACAAGCCAAAATTTTTAGTCTTTTAAACCTGAAAATTCGAAATTAATTCCGAGCCAATTTGGAACTTTCTATTTGGGCTAGTTTAATTTTGTAGCGGTAACAGTAGAGGGCGTTAGGTACCCCGCAGGTCAACGACTGTCTCATGATATCATAGAATTAGTTATATATTCTCAAACTTTACATATATAATACGTGTAATACTTAGGTATAGCTGTGTGGTACTCTAATAATGTGGCTGTGTGAATAAGAATGTCAAACGAACAGTTTTGACGGCATCTTACACTAATTTGAACTTTAAATCTATTAAGATAGGTTCCAATGTGGGATTTCGCTAAAATTGATATCGTATAAGGCTTCGCGTCTCATATATTCTTTATTAATACATTTTATCGATGTTAGACATGTTGTTAGAGCCTAAATTAATAATTATTCGACATTTATAACTAAGGCGTTTGAATAACGAGACGGTCGCCATCAGTAACATAGGACTTCCAAATATGTTGATCTTAGATCTAATGTTATAAATTATTATATATCGTTTTAATATATTGACATATCGATATTATGCTATAAAATTCAAATTATATCTATTATCGTGGTTAAAGTAGACGTCTATTAATAATATTTGCTTCAAATAGTGTATTCGTGGTAATGTTTAGAGTATTTTGATTTTTAATGCAACGTTGCAAAGTTGAAATTTGAACGAGTAAAGCGTTTTAGAAGTGAGTGTCTAGAAACAAATGCCAAAATAAATTTAGATTGTTGTGATTTCGCATGCTTCAATTCTCAGTACAATAAAATATAATTCGCGATGTATCTAATATTTAGCAACAGACTAGTCAAGTTCGATTCTCGAGTTGGACAAGGTGTCATTACAGTTTGGTTTTTAAAAGATTTGCTCAGCGCTTTACTATCAAACTTAGATCAATAATATTTAGAAGGCTTATGTTACTGCTCTGTCCTTGAAGCAAGTGGGTTTTGAATGCTAGTCGAGGGAATAAAAAGAAAACTCGCTTAATGAACAGAGGGCATAGTACTTTCTTTTACTTTTAACGAAATCAAAACGAATCCGAAACCGCGTTCGTACTGAGAATTGGTCGGTTCATTGGAGCTGGCCAATCAGAGCGTCAAACGCGGTCTCGTTTCGATTACTTTTAACGTAAAATAAACTTGTTCTAAGCCCTCTAGATGTTACATATTATGTCAAGTTCATATCTTTTTAAATTCTCGTTCGACTAGCATCTATAAACCCATCTGTTGGGCTTGTTTGCTCCCACGGGTAACTGTGACAATAGCTCGCGTATTATACGCACTAATAACATTTTTCACAATAATAACACCGTTTTTATTTAAATATACGCTCTTAATATAAGTCGTATTTAAATAGCAGTAGGTCTGTTTACCATTTTAATATCTAACAATATACTTATTCGATCTTATTCGTGTGCTAAAGGCCTAGTATGAGTTATTTTTACGTTAGCGTGATCCAAACGTTAACTGTCTGATTGGTTGGTTAACTTGGAGCAGCCAATCAGAGCGCCGAAGGCCATGAACGTGTGGATCGCGTTAGCATAAAACAAAATCGTACTACGCCCGTTCTGACATGTTTCTGAGTATAGTGTGTGATGATGACCAAGCAATAGTTCTTGGAAGACTATATGAAAGTATTATTATTGGATTTTAAATGGTTTCGAGCATCCAAAAATTCAATGCATCAAATCTGGAACTGTGACCAGTGTTTAGTATAATGTGTCAGAGTTCAGTTCATCATATGAGATTCGCAATATATCTTACAAAGCTGATATCGGAAGTTACAGACCGAGGTTGTGGAATTTGCTGGTTACCGGAGCTCCGGTTCCAAGCAGGAGTGGGAACGGGGTGATTTTTAGTCAGTCCGAGCCTGACACTCCCTCACACCCTTTCTTTCGCCTCACCCAAGGCGGGAGATGTCATTTAATTGTTTTAAAAAAATATCGAAATATAAGAAATTAACGTAATAGTTAAAGAAGTCTGACAACTGCATATTGTATTATAAAGAATGAATAAGAAACATGTCAGAACACCACATCAGATGTAAAATAGTCTCAATAACAGTTTTACTAAAAACTTTGCGCAGTAACGTTTGTTGTTATATTTTTCATAATATTTCTTCTCATATCTAGTCTGCCAATTTCAGTCCTAGAGACGCCTTCTGGTTAGTTATCTTAAGAAGCTTAAGAGTATTGCTCGATCTTCTACATATATTGTGCAATGAGATCTTCACTGATGGTTAACTATCAGAAAAAAGTGTCCTTGTGTGGAATATTTGAAATAAATACTTTGAATATAATATCATCAAAATCTGTCAAGCTGTTTCAGAAGATACATTACAATAGACAAACGATCACCGATACTTTCATCATAATTATAAAATACTAGCTGATCCAGCAAAATTTGTATTGTCTAAATTTTTTTTTACCTAACCCTTCCATTATCTACCCTTCCCAAATCGGTTCAGCCGTTCTCAAGTTTAAGCTAGACTAACTATTAAAAGAAATATTTTGACAAATAAAATAACTAACAATATATTATCTGTGTATCATATCAAGTCGCTTCTATGTTATATAACTATGTAAAATAAAGTACGGACTAACTTTTATCGTTAATATTCTCGGGTTCATATAGTAAGGGCCCATATTTTCTAATATTCCACAAGAATTATGCCAGGTAGACAAGTTTCGTATTTTATGTAATCCAACGTATACAGGGCGTGATTGAATTTGTAAGTGACAATTAAATGAAGTGAATTAAGGCTACTGATACGTATGACTGCCTCGTTGGCCGAGTGGTAGCAAGTGCGATTGCCGGGCAAAGAGTCTCTGATTCGATTCCCGGGTCGGCCAAAGTATTACTGGGTTTTTAAATAAATCTCAGTAGTAGCGCGGAGTCTGGAATTGTGTCCGGTATATGGCAATAGGCTCACCCCCTATTACATGGGACTCGTAACATAAATAGTGAAAAGTGCGTGTTACATTGTACAGTGACATTAAGCGCCGTAATGTGCGCTTCGCCTACAACCTAATACGCATAATATTATTTATTGATTATATTGCAAAGTATAAAAAATAGCGCATCGTAAGATCCTGGCAGTAAAAGCAACTACTTGTACGTCACATTAGTATTGTGTGAACTATTTGATCACTTTCAACCCACGTGACTCACGTAAGTTCCTAAGCTTAATAGGTCAATGCTCTGTAGCAAAAATATGTTTGATTCACAATTAAATGAAACTGGTATCAAGAGCAGTAGGTGTGCTAAAGTTGATATTATCACTCATGAATTCAATAACACTCTGTATATGAATGTAATAGTATTAGCAATGTTTATTATTTTTCATATAATATATATACTATGTATGTTGTAATATTATTTGATTTTATATACGGAGACATATTGGCCAATTTCGAATTACAATTAATATATTTTTTTTGTTGTTGTTTACCAGTTAAATATCATTTTCAATATTGCTCTCCTATTCTTTAGTATAACAGATGAAAGGGACGGAATGACTTGTTTTCAAATTAAGAAATATTTCATGCAGGTATTTGTATTGGAAAAGGTTCTCGCGTTGTCCTTTTCCCTCTTCATATATCAGATAGCGATAGCAATATTCTAATTTTATTTAATTGTTAGAGAATTACAAGTTTTTATTCTATGTATGTAGTTTGGCAATAAAAATAATAATTTTCATTATATTTAGTTGTCTAGCGATGAGATACTTTCTTTTCCTATATTATGTTGGATGCAGGCGTCTCCAAATTTTGTATACCAAAAATTATTCCGTTTTTATGTTCATGTCATGCGCAATTCTGTTCAATCGTCGTGAGAATAGTAGTTAAAACAATTAAATACCAGAACAAATATTTCTTTTGGCTGAAGATTCTTGTAGTAGTCATCTTAAATTGATTATTTTGCTACTATCTTTACAAAACGGTCCAATTGCAAACACTAGTTGAAACTTAGGTACACTATTTTTAGGCTCTAATTTTTCAAGCAAAAATATACCATATTTCAACAATTCATAGTTGATATTTAACTGATAAAATGAAATAAAAAGATCATTACATTTTGAACTCTATTGCAAGGACTGAAGTTTGTAATTTCTATAGCTTAAACAGTGACCTATTTTCAACTAATGTTTGTAAGAAATGTCTTTGCAATAAGTCTCCCAAGCTTTCGTTATCGGCTTAGCCAAACGATCCATATAATGACATTATCTTTTAACTATTAAGTATTAATTCATTATTTTGTTTTAATTCATTATATTATATTTTTATCTAACATGCTATTCCTGTTACTTATGATTAAATTGTAGTACCTACTGGGGTGTAAAAATGAATATAACAAACCCTAAGTTCAGATATGTACGATATTATTTTATTTAATAAATGTAATGTTAAAAATATATATGTACTGGTCAAAGGAAAAGGATTGAAAATCTATGCAATAAAATACAGTTATGATTTTAAAATATTCAAATCGTAATTGTTATCGTGTTTTTTCTTATTTATTTATATAAATATCCATACTACAATGTAATCATAGGAGTGTTGGCATGTATAAGATTTTTGTTAATTGTAAAATATTTTGGCATAAAGGCGGGAAATGAGTTAAAGGCACACAATTTATAGCTATAAACCTCTATGAAGTATTATAACATCTGTGGTAACAATTTCCCGCCAAAAAAAACTATTATTTGATCTCATTACTGCTGACTGAGAATTCATTTGGCACATTTCTATATTACAATGAAATTAATGAAATATTTATTTCACTAATAGACCTTAGAAGCCATCGCCATCGCTAATGTATTTTGTATTCCTTTGTATTGTATAATTAATCATCACAAATTGTTATGTCCATCTACAATGGCCAAACAAACTTATATTAGTGCTATGGGAATTTCATTTAAGTTGAGTAAATTAGTACAAAAATATCTTACATTTTATGTTCCATCAATTAAAAATAAAATTCAATGCATTACTTGCATTAATGCAACACAGACTGTGCAATAATGTAAACATCTCTTGAGAATTTAATGTTCATTTAATTTGACTTGTAAGTCATTAAAAATATAATTTCATTACGATATTTTTAAGTAATGTGATGAGATTTATTATTTTATCATAATTTGCAAGTATAATTTGTATTTATTGTACAAATAAACATTTTGCATTAAAACACATTTGTTTCATTTTTAATAAAATTAATTTATTTGATTTAAGTATTAACAATTTGTTTAAATCAACAATAGTTTAGATATAAATAAATAAATATGACAATAATGTCCTTTTGGTAATTACATTTTTTTTTGTATGTCTACCGATTTATATAAATTACGATTTTTTAGATCACACACTTGTAAGAGTACTAACAGTACAACAACAATCCTTTGAACAAAAATACAACAAAATATCAAAATTACAAGAAAATGAGTAGACATTTAACATCAATGCTTCTAGTACGAGAGATGACGACCAAAACCATGTCTCATAGCAATACGGCAAAAACCCTATAAAATCGTTAATTGTATGATTCTGAACCCGACTAGGTGTGTAGTAACGGTCGAAAGTGTAGCAACTGCGTGGGAGGCCATTTCTGCTGTGTCAAAAATATCTGAGTATCGAAAAGTTGTCTGATAGAGAAGGTGCTACACTTATATTGTCTGATATACATTTTTTGCACATGTGGACAACTTATTTTATCATGTCCAACAATTTTCAGACATATTGCCATGATACCGATTGGTAAAATTTGTTAACATTATTTAATGCGTTCACATTTCCGTCTGAAAATTGTTTTGTTCGCATCAAATAACCAAAATTTACTAATAAAAAAGGTTTTCAGACGTATTGCTATGAGACATTTTTTTTGTCTGGTGTTTTTGTGATCAGATCAAACGCTACGCGGAAAATGTCTGATATTGGTATTTTCGAGTTCAGGATAATCGTATCTATCGATTTGAGACGGTTTTGGCCATATTGGTATGAGACAAAAATTTTGGTCGTCATCTCTCTAATTATTCTACTAGGCCGTAACAGACTCATATGTATCATATGACGTAGTATCATAAATCACTTAAAAGAAATCAATCTTATTGTAGGTCAATATAATTGAGTACTTATTTCTTTAAAAAATATGCTACATCCTCTGTTAATGTATTCAATGTATTGAAAGTAGGTTTGCATATTGCATTTAACTCGTCGAGTACCGGTTTTGTAGACACAATTATAGAACAATAGGTTGCGGTCACTGGTGACCGCTTGGTGTTTGACAGTTTAATATGCAAGTGTACTTTTTGTGCAATAATGAAATCTTTTATTATGGATGTGATAAAGAAAGTAGAAACAGATATGTTTTAACATTTGTGCTTATTCTAAAATATTCAATAGCCTTCGAATATTAAAAATTGGTCCCTCAATCCATTCTCCCCTCCTATACCCCCCTCAGGAAGGACATAGACTAACCCATCAGCCCCCTTTTTTGGAGAAAACTCGTATAGATTATTGTTGCTCTGTGCAAGATCATATAAGTTCCAGGCTGATACATATTTGGACTTGCCATGTCTGCAAAGTACATAGACATTTTTCTGATCACTAATGAAGTCTTCTCCAGGGTGATTTATGATGATAATGCCGCATACTAATGCCCAGTGAGCTGTGTGACCGTTCTTTAAGCAAGGCGAGTGATTACAGTCAGCATCATATCTGGTTTTAGAGTTAAAGGGAATATAATTTTGTTACTGTATGTGCACTATAATTTATAAAATAATGAATGTATCTTATCTAATCAAAATTATACGAATTATTATATTGTGTCCTTGAAAATTCTAAAAGATACTAAATTGAAGCTAAATACAAAAACCCTAGATCAACTTCAATCCTTTACCTATTACTTTGATTTTTGCCAAAAGGATGAAACATGACAGATGAATAGGTAACCTCAGGGCAACAAGACTGATTGTATGTAGACAGAAATTAATTTCATAATATTGTGCAACAAACACTGAAAACTATGGTTGTCAACTAACAATTACTTCAATTAGATTTAAAAAAATTGTAAAAAGGATACGGAACTAAAAGGACAGCACCATTGAGAAGTCTTTTTATAGTCTCTGAGCTGTACAGACCTCCTTTTTTCAATGTACAGCAAACACCCTCTACTTCTGCTAAACTGAAGGCTTTCTCGGTCAGTTTCACCATATTCTTACAGCTGAACATTTCTCCGTTGCTTGTGTAACCTTCTAATTTAGCGATGCTTAACAATTCATCTGGTGATGCCTCTCCATTTACTGCCATTGACAAAGCAACTAGACCACAAGTTGGACCTATCTGCAATATTGACTCGAAATACCTATACTTATATGCGAAAGGAGGTTTTTCATAACAGATCTTGTTTTTAAAACAAGCTTCTCTTAACTCCGGGTGCTCAGAGGCCCAAGTACATATTTCTGGATCAAAACTCGGTTCGTTTATCTGTCCGTTTTTCTGCACATTCGTCGGTGAATTGATGTTGGGCAGTGTAGGTGGTGGAGGCGGTGGTGGTATTGTACACATTTTCATAAAATTCTATCATCTATCTATTAAAATAATGTAAAATATTGAAACTTATATAACAATAACAAAAATAAAGAGTATTAAACTTCAACTTAACATCACTGATTTATGTAAATAATTATTGTACAACAATGTAATCTTATAACACATTTTCATTAGTTTTTCAATTTTACGTTGAAATTTTCATAATACCAATTTTCTTTTATTTATTTTTTTACAGCTGATAATGTTTTGACTTTTTGATTATTTTAGTGGCAGTGACATACACATCCATCAGGCAGCGCATACCATAGAATTCATAGAGTATCAAAAATAGATGATGAGGAGGAGCAGACTTATTTCTAAAATGCCATTGTATTATTTTTTATTTCGTTTAGACTTCAATAATGATTTATATTGAATTCTTGACCTTGTTTTTGTTACATAAAACTGTTTAAATGTGAACTTAAACGAAATGGATTGAACTTATGAACTTATAGCGTAGAGCATAGAGTTGTTGAAATTGAGGGCGTGGTAAACGTTCTTTGCTATTTTCCATTCACTTTTAGATTCGTTCCTTTCATTCGTTTCATATTTTATTCTGACAGCTGTTGAAGTAGCGCGAGCTGTAAGCGCATTGTGATAGTGAATTATTTTAATTATAATTTGAAAGGGAAAGGGTCTGCTTCTTGATATTTTGGAACCAGTTGGGCGAGTCCCTAATTCATTATGTCGGAGTCGCGAAAAAACCATCTGTCCATAGATGGAGGGCAGGTGAAAGAAGACGAACACGTCGCATCTTACAAGCCTATCCCCGAGTCCGATGGAGGTATTCCCTTTGTTTTAAGTTTAATTACTTGTAAAATCGATATTAAAATATTTTTCATACATATTAGTATCTTGTCTTGTCATAAAATTTGAAATGGTTTTAGTAAAATGTTGACCTTTATTTTATTGTCGTCATTTTCATCATGTAGTTCTATTTGAATATGATTTAAATGTAAAGCCTTGATTGCTGTTTCCGTTATCAATTTTATCATGTCGTCATGACGTTATCAATGAAAGGTAGAGATAACAAGGTCGACAGCAAACGTCAAAGCCGAAATGTTATCCGACAAAAATGAAAAGTTCGCAAGCTTACTTTTTTCAGCTAATTATAAAATCTATGCCTACTTTTTGAGATATTTTGAACCACTATGCTGTTATTTCTATCCTGTTCACCGTAACATCAATGCCAACCGTAATTTTATGATATTTATCTAATTATGAACAACTTAAATATTTTGTACCAAGGTGACTTTTCGATTCGGTCGGGTTATAAAGCGCTTTATTCACCGCGGCAGTCAGCGCCATTTTGTTCTCGTCCGCTGAATGATGCAAGATACAAGTTTGTTTGCAATATTTGAACGTTAATTTGTATCAAGGATTACCTTAACCGAGCAAGACTCAAACAAATTGAAGAAGACATCAAAATAATGAGTGGTAAACATATTTTTTTTGCTTATTTCTTTGAACTCAGACAAGTGGTATCCCAATCTATTGATGTAGATGAGAAACTTCCTGCAAATTGAATTCACATGCAAAGGACCTCTATTTGAATGACCCACTTGTTATAAATTGGTTAACTAACTCCAATTTATGTCTGAGAATCAAATGCTTATTCAATCAGTCATTTCCATAGGAAGACTATCACACCAAACTTTATTTCCAGCTGAACCTGTTGAGTATTTGGAGACTGAAGAGGTGTATATGCAGTTAAACCAAAATGAAATAATGGAAACAGAGCCTGCTGACGATATAGATGACCACTGGGAACATAACAGTATAAAAATGCTTTTAAATCTGTATCTCCAGAATGTTGACAAATTCCGTAGCCCTAAAGTCAAGAAAAAAAATGTATGGATAGACATAGCCAATGCTGTTGGTAAAGGGCCAGACTGCTGTGACAAGAAATTTCGAAATTTGAAACAGACATACATTAGATTACTCAAGAAAAGAAACAGAAATGAGGTGGTTGTAGTAAAATGGCCTTATTTTGAAGTTTTTGAGAAGATTTATAATGTGAACGGTGAATACCAGCCAGAAATACAGCAGAGGATACAAGAGGCAAGCACAGAGAGTGTAACCAAAGCTTTATTGTCTATAGCTGAACCTTCAACTTATGAGCAGGATGTACAGGAAAATGGGGAGTCATCAAATGGACAAAGTGAAGAGTCTAGAAGGAAATTGAATAGAAGAAGATATGCAGACTTTAGGAAAATAACATTAGAAATGAGAAATAGACAGAAGACAGTGGAAGAGAAGTTAGATAGACTAATAAATATAGTACAAGAATCAAATAGTATACAGCGGGAAAGAAATAGGCTATTCCAACAATTCCTTGACAATTTACATCAAAATACTTAGGAAATAAATCCAGATTTAATGATTAAAAGTGTGACTCCTGGATATAAGACCGTGGATTTTAAATTTCAGATCAGGCGCAAAAATTTATTAAGGCTTTTGATTAAGAAGTTCTTAATAATATTAAAATCATAGCCTTGAGTCTGGATTTATGCCTAAAGCATGTATTTGAGAGCATTAACCTTGCCTCCTATCACATGGGATTAATGCAAAACTGCGGAGGTGTGATGTTGTAATTTCTTATAATGAGGCAATTATACTACTCTCTCACATCTTATGGTTGCTGAGACAGTACTATTTTTCATACATTGCCCATAGGCGTAGCGTCACAGCGCAATTATTATAATAACACATGATATGACAGAATGGATATAGACGTGAACGTCATAAGGCGTTCTGTCACTTATGATATGTATTTTTGGCTGGACTGGCTTGGACTGGCTTGACGCCTACAGGCAGTACTGTCCGTCAACGTGTTAAGATTGTTAATAAGCAATAAGGCTACAAATTACACTTTTCATTTGAGAAACTATGAGGGCACTTCCTACCTGACAATGTGACATGATTCCAGTAGATGAGTATAGGATTATTACAGATTGACAATGATAATGATGCAACAGGAGAATTGCGACAGTTAACAAGCCCACAGCTACCTAATCTAGAGAATAAGTCAGAATACCTGTGGTTATGTGCGTGCATTATGATTCTGAAATTGTCATATTTGTGCCAGATTCTCAAAGTCGAAGGATGTGTTTTATTTACTTGGAATGCATAATTATTAATTTTTGACTGTGAATTGTTTTATAAAAATAAATTTTATAATGAAATCATTAACTGGAATTTACATATTTTATTTATACAGACAGGGAAATCCCATATTTCAACTTTAGTAATTTATTTTCCTGTTCATGTTTATTTTACTTCGTAACAGAATATTAGTGTGTGGATAGAATAAACCTTTATAAATTCTGACTAACACAAGTTACACATTTATCCTGGAATGTATAAAAATTATTGTATTACATTAATATTTCCATAAAATGTTCCTTTACTAATAATGCTAATGAGAAATTATTCAAAGGAAAATGTATGTGGCCAGCCTCGCCCGCGACATTGGCTGAATAGCTACCTGTCCTGAGGTATGATATTGCAAGTAGCTAGCACATGTTGCAAAACACAAAACTTGAAGTACCTAGTAAGAAAATAAAATTGGTAATACATACTTTCACACCCTAAATTGATAGACCAATTTTAATGAAATCGACACAGGTAGAAAGACTCACTATTACCGAAGATGTAGGTAGAGGACCTTACTTGTTACAAGCATGTTACTAATAAAATAATGGAAACAAACTAATAAACATTAATAAAAAAAATCATCAATAACTATTTTTACGTGACACTAAAATCACGTTTATGATTAAAGCGTGACACTTTTAAATCACGCAAAAGTATAAGCGTGACAATGAATAAGTGTAATAATAGTATCGAATTAGCGCGACAACAGTTAAACAATAGTGCTGAGAATCTATTTCTGTTTCAATTACCAACAAATATCCAATATAGAAACACAGTACTTGCCATTCGCAGTATGTTATGATTCAAAAAAATCCTGTATCGCTAATTTTTGTAAACATGATCTTTATATTACCACAACTACAGTCAAGCTTGTCATATCACTGGTTTTCAGGCAATACCACGATTCTATTGTAGTTTACATGTTCTAATTTACAGTTCTATATTACTGTAAAATTGACTATTGTTCTACTAAAGTGCATTTTTGAGTGCGTTCCAGGCCATTGAGTGAGGTGAGTTTGGGATATGTGGTTGTGGTTTCACGAGTTTTCTGCCTTTAAGTAGATACGAATTAATAAACTCAACCTTTTTTATAAAAATCTGTTAAGAAATTATTTGAATAATATAAAAATATATTGTCTGCTCGTCTTTTCAAATGAGTAGCGCTAATTTTTGCGAGTCAGCGCAGATGGGTACACGATTTCCCTGTTTTAGGGCTTATGTCTCTTCAATATCGAGTCCTATCTCTTTATTTTTAATTTGATTTGGTTTGGTAATGATGACTTCCATGACGCCTTCTAGACATCCTCCTTTGGACATAGGCCTTTTCAATAGCAAACCATTGTGTTCGATCTTCAGCGCCCCTTATCTGGCAAATGTTAACTACCTCGCAGATATCGTCACTCTACCTACTTGCAGTACGAATTGTCGTACCCGGTATCAGATGCCTCCGCTACCACAGAATCTGCGCAACTAATTGCCCTGTCACATAATCTTAAAACCAAGGCCACTTCAATTTGCAACTTGAAATCGGAAGTTTACACAGCAATCCATATGACAAACAAGTCGTGCTTGCTATGAAGTTAGGAGGCCTCTTGCTAAATTATGAGGAAATGGACTTAAAATAGATTAAATAGGACTCTAGACTAAGTCATTTCAGAGCCCAAAATTGAAGCACAAGCTCTGTACTGTATAAAAATATAAAATACCCTAACCATAGGATTCAAGACAGAAATTCATTTGTTTTATTGTATTGGAGAGTCATCTCGCAAGTGGTTTTACTTTCTAGTAATAAGACAGGGGAATGTGACAAAATGATAAACTGCCATAGGCCCACTCCTAACAATATAATCTGTTTTTGTATTAGTACTCTCAAACGTCCTAGTAAGAAAGCGTCAAAATCTAAAACTTCAGTTGGTAATTTAGTAGATTATCGCAATAAATATCTTTTTATACCTATATCAATAAATATGAGTCACTGCTCCACTGAACAGATTAAATTCCCAAAGGATAAAGTCGTTTGGCAAAGACGCAATTCGCTTGATTGCTCAGTCATTTTGTGAAATTAGGTTACTCACGGTAAATAGACCGAGTAAATGTTGGATAGCTATTTCGTAAAGAGTGCCAAGTGTTCCTCTAATCTAACGTTAGAGCCTGAGTACGAATTTAAGAGGAGAAACGGTATAAAGTTACAGTACAGTCAGTTTATCAAGTTCCTACTTTTAGCAGGATTAAATTATCCACAAACCGAGTTTTTTGGGACTTTAATAAGAGCTATCTTAGCGTAGTGATGAGAGTCATCCAATAGTTTCAATGCGATGTAACAAATAAATCGATGTGGTTTGGATATTTTTGTTCCGATGTTTAATTATAAGGACTTAAATATCGGGCCTCGTGTTATAATAAAAATCTATGCTATTTCTGGACATTTTAAATAGTGTAGTCAATAAAGCGAAGACATCTTAATCACCTCTTCATTAACAAATCGATACTCGATTATTAGGAAAATTCTTTTAAAACTATTAATAGTCTAAATAACAAACTAATTAACTTAATCATTATATTGAGAGTCTGGAAAGGGTCTGCTCTGGTCCTTATCGTAAGTCGTTCACAAATGAGTTTGTCAGTCCATTTAGTACGAAGCCATTATTCTATTAGGTGTAAACTGAGATAGTTTACCTAGTTCGGAGTTAGTAGTCGAGTGGTCTTGTGACGAATTGTGTGTGGTTCTTGTTATTGTGTAAATTTTTCGTGACATTACCGATCACTTCAGTGGTGGTGATATTGAAGAACTAAACGATTTATCCTACGTGTGCAATAGTTGAACAAGTAAGTGCAGCATTTGCGTGTTTATTATTCGTACCAAAGGTCTTCGACCTAAAAGTCGTATCTGCCAAAAATGTACACCTACATAAAATACTGAACGTGGTATTCAGCAGCATTCTTCATCTTACAATGCAGTCGTCAATTATTTCGGCGAATATTTTTTTGTAAACTCAAAACCAGCCATGCATTGCTAACTTCCAAAATCAGGTTCCAATATAAAAAAGCTTGCACCCGCTGAGTCTTGGGAAGCGATTTCATCTTGCAACGAGTATTCTTGGTCCCTATAATTTTTAAATTAAATTCTTCATACTACATATACTTGTGTGGGTACCCATACTTAATATAAGGGCCCTGCACCTCCGTACGATTGTAGTCGTATTTTTCCGTTGAAGGGCTCAACGTCGGAGTTTAAAGAAAGTGAGTGTTCGAACTTTCATTAGAAAGCTGTTAAAAGTCGTTGATTTGTTCACGGTGCAAATTGTTTATAACATGTTTGGTTTTGTACTTATTCTTACCCGTAAAACGCTGGCTGCGTGTGAATTTCTACTTATAATAATAATGGCCATTTTGACCCTGTGAAAAAAGGGTTCTTGTAATAAAACCAGGGGTGTGACCACGTTGACCTCATTGTTCCACGTGAGGGATTTAGAAGTTTGTATCGGGGTGACATTTTTAGCTCGACAAGGACGGTAGAGACGAGAATAGATAGTATCTATTCCAGAATTTTTACCGCTATACGGCAGCCCGCGAGCTGGATCGTTAGTGGGGTAACGTGCTTCGTACGGGTAGGAACATTTCTGACGTAACTTGGACCGGGTTTTGCAAATATTTTCTCTTGATTTTAAAGTGTTTCGGTACGTTAACCTTGTTGAAATATTTGTGTCATTTCAGTGCGATTTGTGAGATGTGTTGTTGTGCCAAAATTAGGTTGGGCTGAAGCGTGGTTGAATTTGTAGCTAAGTGTACATTAAATATGCATCCAGATATCAAAGCTATCCAGAGATCTTGTCTGGATTATATCATTTTGATTATAAACTTGTAGGAAAATTTTGGACCATTCTTTGTTCATGTTTGATGTAAAGTCAGAATAGTAGTTTATAACATTTTGAAGAGTCTGCGGCTAACTATGTACTTACATAAGTATGGAGGGCGCGTGGTCAGGCGACATCCTAGTTGTCTAGCGGTTTATTAACCTGTTTGCATAATTGTGTAGGCCGTAGTATACTAACTAAACTCAGGTATACCTAATGTTTTAGTATAGGCATTTCCAATAACCGATATCATTAGATGGGATAGAATTTTAATACACTTTGATGGTGTTTATGTGTTATAGTCAAATCTGCTACTACATCTAATAGACGGGCGTTATACATAGATGAACATTTTGGCTTTGAGGTTTTGATATTTGAAAATATTTCACCACATTATGAGATTTCAGAGTTCAGAACAAATACATGAAATTGTAGAACAGTTAGTTTATAAATGCTTTGTACCATATCATTCCTGTCACATGATTGTCCTTCAAACAATCGGATATGTAATATCCCGTTTTCTTCCAGACTTTCGGACATCAAAATCCAATCTCTCCAAGTCAAAGGAGAAGCTTTCTCCTGACGGCGCGGAAGAGAAGCTGCTGCCCAAGGAAGTTGAGGCCAAGATAGTGACCAGGGTCGACATGGCAGACGCCAAATACGTGGTGGAAGACCACAGGAATGGAGACGCTAAGATCGAGCTTGATGCTAACAAACGGGTAAGTGGAATTTCTTTTTTAATTAGTTTTTGTCATAATGTCATACCATTTATATTCGTAAGACTTGTTGGATGATGGTGGACGATGAGTACTTTTCGTCAGTTACGAGTTGTAAATAAGTACCTTGTTACTACAAACAAGCTTAGGACTCACGGTGCGAGTTTTTACTTGCATGTTAACTTTCTGTATTCTATAAAGGCTGCGGGCTTGCAACCGCGGCGGGCGCGGAGGTAATGCCTTCGTGGGCTGAGCACCGCCGTGTCCTCAGGGAAGTGATCGGCGATGGCGACCTCTCGCGTCCGGGCCTAGTGCAGGCCATGATGCGGAGCGAGGGGGATTGGGATGCCGTCTCCTCCTTTTGCGAAGCAGTCATGCTAGCTAAGGAGGAGGCGGGACGCGTGAGGCAGCGAAGCGCTGCCTCCTCGCAACCCAGCCATCGCGAAGGACACACCGGGCGTCGGGGATCGCGGGACGATCTCCGGCCACCGTAAGCGCGGGCCTGCGGACGGCGAGCATGGGTGGCTCCCCGTCCGACCAGAAACAGACCCGAGCGTACGGCGCGTCGCGTTCCGCGCGCGCCTCAAAGAGCCATCAGACCACCACAGATGGGGCCCAATAGGGCCGATGCCGATTCGGAGTCGCGGAGAACCTAACGGGTAACCGGGGCTCCGGCTCGACGTGCAGGAGAAGGAACGGGGTGGTTTTTAGTCAGTAAGAGTCTGACACTCCCTCCCGCCTCACCCAGGCGGGGGTCATTCGATGATTTTCCCCCCTTAAAAAAAAAGCCTTAGCCTAGAAAACTTCTTGGGGAAAATGAAAAATAAAACCGTTAGTCAATGGAATGAAATGTCAATGTGACACGTAATTGTTTGTAAATATTATTTTGTTGTGAATTCAAAATATTATTTTAAAAAAAGTACACAAAGTATTTTATATTTATAACAAATACTATTACATTATTTGTTTTGCGACGGCAGCCAGCAGTGGGATCGAATATCGTGAAAGAACTTTAAAATGTCCAAAAGGCTAGGTGATGATATTTCTTCTTATTTATTTTTTTATAATAATTTTTTTTACAATTGTTCTCTACTCCACTTGGGAGACACTGCAGATGATAATGTGGTTCGTATTTTGGAAATTGAACATATTTCTATTGGGCAATTTAATTTAAGATAATAATAGACCAATTTTACCCCGTTGAAAATTATCGAAAATCATCCCCTAAATTTGTTCATACAAAAGTAGTCTCTAATCATTAGATATAAGGTCTATAATATAATGTAGTTAGTGGAGAGCGGTCACCGGTGACTGCTTGGGGATATACGGTAACCTGTTTAGGGACAGGCTAAAAATTTTTAAAGAAATTACTATCTGAAGTTGTTTCTGTGAAGACAATATGCTTTCTTCTTGTATCGACCATTGTTTTTGTCTCTGCATCGCCCACAAGTC